ACTGCCAATTGTCTTCCCCGTACTCGGGTCTTGAAAGACACAATGAGATGGAAAGAAGGTTACAGAGCAATTATGAGCCTTTGTAAGAGACTATGAAATTGTGGAACATGGAGTACAAAGTTCAAAGAAAGGCTATTGGTAAGTTTAACTTCACCCAAACCCGATATTGGGGTCTGGGATCCATCGACAACGGTAATCGTACCTTTCCCTGAAAAGTCTATAAGTGGTAAAGTAGGAAGGCATACCAGTCATATGATCATTGGCTCCTATGTCAATTATCTAAGAGCTAGAGAGTGGGACATGACACGCAAGTGCAATACCTGATTTTGCAAAGGCACTAGAAGAAGCATTTGAACCAATAGAATCATGACTTGCAGTAGCAACATGAGCATTTACTTTCTTTCCAGTTTTAAACTTCTCAGGTTTCAGGTGGGAATTTAGCTTCCAGCATCTATCCTTGGTATGCTTCGGCTTCTTACAGTATTCACAAAATACCTCTTCATGTTTACCAAAACTCTATTTAAGCTTTGTGGGCACAGGAGTAGTGTGCTCACTTATAGACACTTGCATCATAGCATTCCTCCTACTCTCTTCATTCTGTACAAGAGAATATGCTGTGGAGAGTGACCAAATATCAGCACTAAGGATGTGTTGCCTAGTGAAGTCATAATCAACATTCAATCGAGCAAGAAAATTGAAAACTCGAGTTTTTTCAATGTACTTCCTGTATTGTTCAACATCAACAAGATCTTTCCACTCCAAAGCCTCAAGATGATCAATTTCTTCCCAAATTGATTGTAAGGAGGAATACATGGCCACTTATTTCTCCCCCTATCGCATATTACATGCTTCTCTTCGCAACTAATAGATTCTAGCAATGTTTTTCGCTTGAGAATAAGTTGCAGTTAATCTGTCCAAATATCTTTAGCTGTTGGAAGGAACATATAGTTACGAGCAATGTGTGGCTGCATAGAGCATACAAGCCATGACATAACCAACAGATTATCTTGCTCCCATTTGGAATAGTGTGGATCTTCAGGCTTCGACTTAGCTTCCTTACCGGTAATAATTCCGAGCTTACCTCTTCCACCGATTGTAAGCTTGGATGATTGAGACCATTCAAGAAAATTTGTCCCATCAAGTTCTACAGTAGTGATCTGTCCTTTGGCATTGTCATTGCTTCCCGAGAGAACATAGATAGGTACGCGGACATCTTTGTGTGAGTCCATTAATAGCAGCCCCTCCAAAAAAAATTTCTCACCAGCACCACAATCTTCTAACAACAGCTGAACTCCCAAAAACCTTTTCCACAAGGTTAGACACAAGTTACAACAAAAAACCTAGGAAAAATAGGTACTAACAACAAAATATGGGAAGAAAAGAATTCCCAAAATAAAGTTTTAGGGCTCTAAAAAATTCAGGACTACTTCATACAGTCCCAGGGGTTTACCACGACTCAAACACAAGAGGTTTCAGCAGCAACCAATCCAACATACGAGCATGCAAGCCCTAAATTCTAGATCTGGATTTTTTGCCAATTTTCATCCAAAACAACTTCAAACCACCATGGAACTTATACCAAAATTCCCCTAAAATCAGGGTGAATCAGTGACCATCAAAAACCCATGAAGATGTCGCCAACTGTACGGACTGCTGACGTCAATTGGCGGTGTGCTGACATCAGCAGATCTGTCTGTGAGTCACGACCAGCAGCAAAGAGTTTTCTTGATCGTGCGTAGCTCTGATACCAAGTTGTAAAGTTTAGAGATGTTGAAGAGAGAAGAGAAGAAGAAAAAGAAGAAGTGTCAAGAATGCTTGGTGTGGCATTGTTCACACCAAGAGACTTTTCATTTCTTCTTTACAAGCAAAATTACAAAGGTGCCCTTGAATAGGCACCCAAATACAAAAAATCACAAAAGGACAGAAATGCCCTCACACTCTTAACTAGGAGTTCCAAAAGCAAAGCTACAACATTATGTAAGAGAGCTGGGCACGATTGACATCTATGCTTAGCTTGAGGGGGAGTGTAGAGATAATGGGCCGAATGGACCTTAGTTCCTTATTTAAGTTATGTTTATGTTTATGTTCTTTTAAGTAGTGCCCTTAGTTATGGGCCTGTTTTTTTTGTTTTCTATTATTTCTTTAGTGTTGGCCGCCTATTAAGGGTATTCATGGAAATATGCTCAGATTACAATTAAAGAAATAAAAGATATCTTTGGAGACTGGAGAGAGGGATCGAGCTCTTCTCTTCTCTCTTCCCTTCTCTTCTCTCACCTTCTTCCATAAACTTCTGCTAAAACTTCTCTTCCTTTCTTTCTCTTTTTCTTTTTCTGTATTTTCTGAATTATTACAGGTGTGTTCTGCAACTCGAAGGTTTCCACAAATGTAGTATCAAGAGATAGAATACAGGTTTGGAAGAGGAACTACATCTCTCTTCAGGGTCGTATTACTTTAGTAAAGGTTGCTCTAGCAAATCGTCTAGTTTACTTTATCTCGGTCTTTAGAATGCCACAAAGGGAGGTTTTGAAGGTAGAGAAAATTATGAGGGATTTCTTGTGGAAGCCTAGGGAGGGAAGGAAAGACAATGTGGTTAGGTGGGAAGTTGTGTTTGCACCTCACGCCTCTTTGTGAGGAGTATGTTATATGTTTACTTTTAGTTAATAAAACTGCTATTATCTATCAAAAAAATACAGGTAATGGAACAGGTCATGTGGCATCAGATATTCAGAAGGTGACAACATCTAAGATCTCCACACTATTTAATAGATCTCCAATGTTAAAATTGGGTAAAGGTCCCAAAAAATCAAAATGAAGACTATAGAGGAAAAATTAAATCAGGAAGCCCACCTCTGAATAACAGCGAAGATGATTTGACAGCACATTTCAGTAATTTAGATCAGTGCCACATAGATACGATAATATCTTTTTAGAATAACCTATTATCCTGCTTATTGAAGCTTTATTTTCTTGAGAGACTTAATTTCCCAAGGATATTTTAATCTGAAAACCATAAGCATTAACAAATCTTGAAGTTCTCTAAGTATTCCAATAATTCATTTTCTCATGAAACATTAAATGTTCTTGATAACACAGATTTTCAAGGCGGCGTGAGATCTGAAGCCCACCTCCTCTCACTGTCCTGCATCATATTCTATTTTTCTCTAAAATTTGGGAGATCAAACAGAGGTGAATAGAAGGATAACTGTTGGCCAAGCTGCAAAGTGCAAAACTATCAAAGAATATTGGATGGTGAATAGAGATTTTTGTATTTGTCGGGCACCTTTT